TATATATATATATAATACTATTTTTACAATAATAATAATTTGTATATAATTTAAAAAATTACATGTACTTACACTTTCACTAATATATTTTGGCAATTGTCATTGAGTTTAATCTTAATTTTGGCATGTTTTTTTTAAATCAGGAATCAAGGCATGCCCCATGATCTTGGTTTTCGGTTGTCGGCAGTCACAGATTGACCACATTTACAAGGAAGAGACCATCCAGGCCAAGAACAAGGAAGTGTTTAAAGAGCTTTACACCGCATACTCCAGAGAGCCTGGGAGACCAAAGGTTAGAATATGATGCCTTGGCAAATATTAGTGTGGATATTTCAAATCCATTTATAATCCAGCATTAGTGAGGGTTTAGCTAGCTGCTCAAGTGAATCATAGAGATTAATGGGAAAATGAAAAATGGACCTTTGTGAAGAAAGTCTTTGATTTTCAAAATTTTTTGTTTTTTAAATTCAGCAAGCAAGGCAAAGCATTTCTGACTGATCAAATAACAGTGGAACCATGCCATGTGGCTCACAGACATCTATTTAGTCTTTTACCTCACAATCTTGTCCTCTCAGAAATACGTCCAGGATGTGCTTCGCGAGCAGCTGTCTGAAACAGTGTACAAATATCTGCGAGAAGAAGGAGGACATATCTACGTCTGTGGAGACGTCACCATGGCCGGAGACGTACTGAAAACAGTCCAGCAGATCTTTAAACTGCATGGAAACATGTCTCTGGAAGATGCCGGCTTCTATATCAGCAAACTAAGGGTTAGATCCCACTTTTTTCCAAACTTCATACTGTAGTTAATGCTTTTTGGCCGTTTATTTAAAACTGGCTCTTCATATGCAAAGGTAAATCATGTACAAGGCCATCTGAGAAGTTCCAGGTTCCACTTACTTTATTTCTTTTTTTATTTACTCGTTAATTATTTTTAATTATTATTCTTTATTATTAAGTGATAATTTATCATCAAAACTAAGGGCTGGGTCTCACTTTTTTTTTTCCAAACTGTAGTTAGTGTTGCTTTTCAGTCATTTATTTAAAACTGAGAAGTTCTAGTTTTGTTTTGTTAATTTATTTATTTTAATTTTATAGTTTGGTTTTATATATAATTTTTTTGAAGAAATTAAATTGTATTTTTATATTTTATTTTTTACATTTTTGATTAAATGACAATTTATCAAAAAAACTAAGGGTTCCATCCCTCTTTTTTCCCAAACTTTATATTGTATTTAGTGACTCCATTAGGTCATTTATTTAAAACTGATTCTTTGTGTGCATAACAAAATCAAGTACGAGGTCAACTGAGAAGTTCCAGTTACTTTTTCCAAACGGTTTTCTCCTCTTTCTCGTTGAAGGATGAGAATCGATACCATGAGGACATCTTCGGTGTAACCCTGCGCACTTACGAGGTCACCAACCGTCTAAGGTCGGAGTCTATTGCATACATCGAAGAGAGCAAGAAAGACACGGATGAGTAAGTCCTGTTTGCTTATTCTCCATCCGTCCTCCTCTCACCTTGAGTCGCCTTGGGTTATCCGCGCTTGTAGGAGGACCTTGTGCCGTGTAGATTACTGTAGATACAGCCTCTGGACCAGCATCACTGAATGCCAGCCGTAACCATAGAGACGGAGGCTGAGAAGAGGCTGCAGCGTAACAGGATTAGTGAGAAGAGAGTGGCTGTGCTATTCTCTGTTTGTGCTCTCACAGATAAGAGCTTGTTCATCGCACACTCGCTGTGAGAGTGGAGGGAGGGACAGAAGTGCTTTAACCGTAGTGCACGCTTAACTGGCCCTTTTGCCGGATGGCCACCGTAGTTCCTGAGAGGTGTCACTTATTTTGATGTTTTATGATGAAAGTCCTTGTGTTGGAGGACGAGAGCTACCTCACGGTCCCTCGCCATGTGTCATCTGGTACTCTGTTGGATAGTGGGCAATACTGAATAAATAAATATATAACGAGATAATTAAATAGTATCATGAAATGTTGCAATGAATGCATAATGTTACAATGAAATGTGACCTTAATTACGTACATTAAACATGAAAGGTGTTTATATTGTATTTAGTGACTCCATTAGGTCATTTATTTAAAACTGATTCTTTGTGTGCATAACAAAATCAAGTACGAGGTCAACTGAGAAGTTCCAGTTACTTTTTCCAAACGGTTTTCTCCTCTTTCTCGTTGAAGGATGAGAATCGATACCATGAGGACATCTTCGGTGTAACCCTGCGCACTTACGAGGTCACCAACCGTCTAAGGTCGGAGTCTATTGCATACATCGAAGAGAGCAAGAAAGACACGGATGAGTAAGTCCTGTTTGCTTATTCTCCATCCGTCCTCCTCTCACCTTGAGTCGCCTTGGGTTATCCGCGCTTGTAGGAGGACCTTGTGCCGTGTAGATTACTGTAGATACAGCCTCTGGACCAGCATCACTGAATGCCAGCCGTAACCATAGAGACGGAGGCTGAGAAGAGGCTGCAGCGTAACAGGATTAGTGAAAAGAGAGTGGCTGTGCTATTCTCTGTTTGTGCTCTCACAGATAAGAGCTTGTTCATCGCACACTCGCTGTGAGAGTGGAGGGAGGGACAGAAGTGCTTTAACCGTAGTGCACGCTTAACTGGCCCTTTTGCCGGATGGCCACCGTAGTTCCTGAGAGGTGTCACTTATTTTGATGTTTTATGATGAAAGTCCTTGTGTCGGAGGACGAGAGCTACCTCACGGTCCCTCGCCATTTGTCATCTTGTACTCTGTTGGATAGTGGGCAACATTATATATCATGAAATAATTAAATATCGGCATGAAATGTTGCGATTAATGCATAACGTTACAAAGAAATGTGAGCTTAATTACGTACATTAAGCAGGAACGGTGTTTATTTTTGAGCTGTCAATCGCTTACTGTTTTTAATGGAATTAGTTACATGATGTGCAGATTAATTAATCAAATTAATCGCAATTACAGCCCACGTTTACTTATGTAAAATGAAAAATGGCATGAAATAGGAAAAATACACTACTGTTCAAAAATGTGGGGTTGGTAATGTTTTAAAAAGTGTTTTTGAAAGTCTCTTATGCTCACCAAGGCTGCATTTATTTCATTAAAAATATAGCAGAAATAAAAAAATATTTTTATGATTTAAAATAACTGTTTTCCATTTGAATAATATTTTAAAATGTAATATATTCCTGTGATGTAAAGCTGATTTTTCAGCATAATTACTCCAGTCTTCAGTGTCACATGATCCTTCAGAAATCATTCTAATAATCTGATTTGCTGCTCATGAATTATAAAGCAAAAGTCTGTCACTTTGATCAGTTAAGTGCATCCTAGCTGAATAAAAGTATGTATTTCTTTCTTCGATAAAAATATTACTGAACCCAAACTTTTGAACAGAAAAATTAAGTGCATCAATTTAATAAATAAATATAATGAATTATGAGCATATATAAGTTGTGGAATAGATGCTTATGCAAATATTTAAATAATTTCAGCATTTCATAATTTTATGTAATTTTATTATTATTATTGCAATTAATATATATACTGTATGTATACTATTTCTACCCCCTTTCTCACTTTGTATCTCTTTTAATCTTTATTTTCTTCCTTTTACAGGGTGTTTTGCTCATAGTCACATTTTCCGTCCATATTTCGCTGGTTTTTGCTCATGCTCTAATCAGCCAACCAGAAGCATGATGGGACACCAACCATGATTCACGAAAACTGTGACAAGTTTGTCTGTTCAAAAATTCGTCTTTTTTTTTAATGGAATATTTCATTTTCTTTGCTAGGTCTTGTTTGATGTGCATCTCTATGATCAAAATCTGCATTAATACAATTACCTTTCACTTGAATTTCTGAATGCACTTTTTTATGTGTCTTTATGCTTTGTCCTGACTAATGGCTTAGAGGCACTTAGGCACTTAGACATGGCCTGCCTTTTTTTTAAGTGTAAGCAAGATCAGCGGCTTTCCTCATGTGCAACATGCGTAGATATTGACTTTACTATTAAGAGATGGGACGTTTTTGGTTTGGATAGTGAGTCTCGAGGTTATTGTGCACGTTTCGATGAAAGACCAAGTCTCTATCCATGCTAAAAAGTGAGGACATGCTCGTATCTACAGAAAGTGAATCTGTTTAAAAGAACCAAACATAGACCTTTTTAAGCGGAACAATTCACGCTGTCCTTGGCCTTAAAAGTGGGTTCAGATCTCATTTTGGTCCATTTTGATTAATTTTGGTTTTGAAAGAGTCACAACCAACCATTTTATTAATTATATTATTAATTTGTCTTCTTCCGCTTCATTTTCTTCTTTCTTGTCTTCATTATAATATATTATTTAATATTCAATATAATAATAATAAAAATAAATTATTATTATTATTATTATTATTATTATTAGTGAATATAAAATTATGTTAAAAATAGAAACAAGATGCCAGAAACGAACAAACTTAAAAACACTATGGTTAGACATGTCAGTTGTTTATTTTATTATTTTAAAAATATTTTTAAAATATTTGTTTTTACATGAGAAAAGGATTAGTGGACGATTGAGAATGAATTGACTTATGTCAGCATGTCTAGATAGAAGACGAGTTAGACCTGTACAAAACCTCGCTCTGTTTATTATCGCTTCTAAATGAAACACACACTGCTAATTAACGCCACACTGGTTTCCATGCATCTGAACATGCTCAAGAGTTGTAACATGGTTAAATATCCCCTGAGGCTATTATATAACTGTTTTGTTAACAACTAGCCCTTAATTTAGAATGAATTTTAAAATTTAAAAATAGACTGGTTCTTTTTGTTATAATTTTTTTCTGATAAACCATTTAAAAACATCTTAATTTTGAAATTAATTCAGTGACTAAAACATGACTGTGGTTTTAAAGGGGTCATATGATGCGATTTCAAGTTTTCCTTTCTCTTTGGAGTGTTACAAGCTGTTTGTGAATAGATAAGATCCCTGAAGTTGCAAACACTAAAGTCTCAAACCCAAAGAGATATTCTTTATAAAAGTTAAGACTCGTCCACGGCCTCCTAAAACGCCTCATTCTAACACATAATTTGCATAACGCCGCCCAAATGTTCACACAAAGAAAGAAGGTGTAACTTTGATTCTCGCTGTAGTATTGTTGTTGCCGCTGCCGCCATGTTGTGGAGACGCTGTGTGTTTCGTTATGAAAGCGAAACTACTTTGTTTCGTCTTCCAAAAGAGGACACAGCTAGAAATCAGTGGTTAAGTTGTATTTACAACACTGTTCCAGAACAGATCAACCCAAATATTCAGATGTGTGCAACGCATTTTACGGAGGACGAGGACTGTTTCCTGGGAGAGTAGCCAAAGGCGGGGCATAGAGGAAAAACAATAATGTACAGTATGTGGAAAATAATGTGTTTTTTTAACCTTAAACTGCATAAACACATTTCATTACACCAAATACACAAAATAATGTTCTTTATAGCAACGTCATATGACCCCTTTAAAGAAGACTGCTTGGATTTAAAGCAACTGTATGCAAGTTGTTTACCTTGAAATATCAGTTTCAAAATCATTCTGATGGACTTATAATAAGGCAAATAACTTTTGAATTCTAATAAGGCACACGTCTGTTCTGTATTGAAACCCATTTCATAAATAAAAAAACCCCTCAATACATAAAAAGGTCATTGAAATGTTGTAATCGCATAATTAAGACTTTGCTTCTTGCGTTTTTGGAAACAAAAAACAAATGAGATATGCACTTAGAATTCAGATTTTTTTTTTCTAGCAATTCCAGGTTTACATCACAATTCTTAGTTTATATCTCGTAATTTTTTTTCTCAGAACTCTGCGTTAACCTCTCGCAATTCTGACGTTAATTCTGAGATTATATATCGCAATTGTACATTTTATCTCAGAATTCCGAGTTCACATGAGTTTACTGAGTTTATAATTCATAATTATGCCATTTTTTCTCCGATTTCTGAGTTTACATCGTGCAATTCTGTTTTGTTTTGTTTTCCACAAAAAAAAAGGTAATTGCGACTTTTTATTTCATAATTATTTCACACACTTTTTTTCCTCAGTGTTGTGAGTTTATATCTCACAATTGCAAATTTTAAACTTGTCAGATATAAACTCAGAACTGAGATAAAGTCACAGTTAAAGTATAAATACTACAAAAATACACAAAACTACATACAGTGGCTTTAAGATTGATCAAACTAAGATGAAACCACATTTATCTCGAGCTAACTGTAAGAAAAGTCTTTTCAGGAGACTGAAAAATCTCTCTAGGTTGGTTCTTTTATGAAACGTCCTTGAAACTCTTATGAAAATGAAAGAGGTGATGCACCTGCTTTGCTTTACTATACGTCCTCTATATCCCTTTTTCCCTGTTTCTCTGAGACACGGCTGTGACGACCCTTCTCTTTGACTCCAAAACAGAGACCTGGATCTCTGCTTTAGATGGAGGATCAACCGTCGTAGTTGTTGTTTTGTATTAAAGGGTAACCGCTTGCAACAACGAGCAAGAAATCAATGCGGCGCATAGTTCAGTTTTGCATGCAATGCCTTTGTGATGGCTTTGAAAGGACCATTTTCTGGCAATGAATCCTTTAAGAAAAGTCACTGTTTTGCTTTCTGAAATGTACGTTCAGTCAGATCCTAGCTCGCTTCGGATTTGCTTTGAAAACTTTTGAGTTATGAGTGGCCTCCGGCATGAAAAATATTACATGAGGTAATTTGATTTTGAGGGACTTTGCTTTCTGTTGTCTTTCTGTAGGAGAATATTCTTGTTGTATGTACGCTGTTAACACTGAATGATTCCCTCCCCACATTTGGGTTTTGCACCGTTTAAACTCTGTGATGACAAAAAGTCGGGCAAAAAAGAATCACACACATGCATATGTTAAAATCAGTAAATATCTAATTCAATCATGACAACTCTCGGAACATTTTAGCATGGTGATGGATCCTCTGAGTTGCTTGTAATGATGTCTAATTAGTTTGGGGGAACCTGAAGCATTATTCTGAATGCATGATGTTACCGTTCTGTTTTCTCTTAACCTGCACTGTGTCTGTTTAACTGTTGTGATCGCGTTCTTCCTCTGTGACTGGACGGAGAAGAAGTTTTACGGGGTTTTCTTTTCTCTTTTTGTGTTTGTTCTTTGCTGCTGCTAAGAGAAACTGTTCCGATCAATTTCTGCTGTGAATCTTCTATTGTGGAAATTCGAACATTGAAACATTTGCCATTTTAATGCATATACTGCAAGAACTTTGCATCTACTTAATAATAAAAACATTTGTATGTCAAGACTTGAAGTTCTTTGCCATTCTTTCTAAGTGAGGAAATTAAAAAAAATATATGCACTGTGAAGTTTATTTAAGACATTTGTAATGCATGAAAGGATATGTGAATGGAAAATTTGAGGTCAGAGGTTGCACTTTCATGGCTCAGGAGATGATGGTGTGTTTCATTGAAATGTCAGTTAGGTTTCCTATTGAATTTTCATGGAGAAACAGAAGCAATGTAGAGACTGTTTCCATGCAAGAGTATCAGACATCATCTTATTATTTATTAAAAAAAAATTTTTAAATGTCAAATGTGCTACAACTCTGCAAAAGAAATATTAAATATACTTATATTTCATACATTTTAGATTAAAAATAAATGATATAAAGAATATGTTGTAAATGAAAGTAAGTGGTCATTATTATGAAATATTTAAGAAATAATATACAAAATACGTATTTTATGTGTGTGTGTGTGTGTGTTTAAAATATATATAAAAAATATTTAAATATGAATATAAATGTAATATTGCCATTACATTACAAAATAAGTATATGTATCTATGTATGTTGGTGTGTGTGTGTGTGTGTGTATTATAGATATATATATATATATATAGATATATACGTGTGTGTGTGTATATATATATATATATATATATATCTATATACTGTATATATATATATATATATATATGTGTCATTTTAGAATTACAGGTTAATTAAGGTTTTATAGAGAGCAACTGATTGTGTAGTGAGGGAAGAAGATGTATGTTCTTTGTTTTATATAATTGTTTCTCTCTCTCACCGCTCACAGCAGAAACAGATTGAGTGCAGCTTTATGAGAGGAGAAATGACACCATGGCAACCAGTCAACAAAACAAATGATCTGAACAATAGCCCACCCTCACTGTACAGGCTCCCCGGCTCATTGGATGAGCCGTCCAAAAATGCAGCTCTGCAATTAGCCAAAGTGACTGTCGGTCAAATACAACCTTCCCTCAGAGCAGGTTAGTCTGGGCCAACAGGAGACACTACTGCACTGATTTGCTTTCTCATAGATTTAATTTTAAGGATATCGATCCTGTCTGGCTCGGGAAACCAGAGTGAATCGAATGTGATTTAGTTTGATGAAAGCATTCTCAACATTAATTTTGCAAACAATCACAAACTCACAAGGTATATAGAATGGTAGTGGGCAAAAAGGTGACAAAAGAGAGTATTCTTCCACCGGTGTGTGAAGATGACAGAGATGAAGGTGGAAAAGAAGAGGATTTGGGAGGAATCGCAAGCAGGCCAGTCAGCAGACCCAGGAGTCTCTACAGCAGAGGAAGTGTGGATGGCCAAGTGAGTGTCCCGGCTGTTTCATATGCTTGTGTGTTAGAAAACACATGATGAGGGTGTGTGGGCTTAATGCCATTTAGCCAAGTAGAAAGATATTTTTCACATCTATTCAACCAATCAGATTTTATGGTTGGGGAATGAATAGGGTTTGGCCTATGATATTTTAAACACTGGTTGCTGACATCCCAAATCTCTTGGTACGTGTCCAACGATGTGAAAGAGGGGGAGTGTGAATGTCATCAATGTGGTTC